ACTCCACTATCTAAAGACGAAAGATAACTGTAAACTAAACAGTGTAACAAAAAAACGTATAAAATTTCTCTCAATCTTGGAAAAGTGCGCATCAACGTTAACCAAAATTCTACCACATAAATTTGGAGTCTACAAAACCATTTCAAGGATGGCGCAAATGATATCAAATTTTGTACTTTGGTAGTAATTTCAGATTCATATTGCTGGTAAATTTGATCAAAAGAGCTAAAAATAAAAACTTAATAGGAGAAGTAAATATTTTTTTAAAAAATATATATGATATTTCATGCACCTATTGCGCCTTTATTCTTCAAAATTTCTCAGAAACATATTTTATGGAATAAGTGCAGTATTGAATTTGATATAGATTTGTCTTGTTTATTAAGTACACTAATATTTTGCCACTATTTTTTTTGCCTCCGCCTGTTGGCTCCTATTAAAATCTCATCGCTAGAATATAAAAGTTAATAATTCAGTCTTCTCAATCAGGGTACAAAGTATAAAATAATCTGCAAATATTTCAAATATACGCAGAGCAATGTTATCAACTTCAAATTTCAGAGATGAAATTAAGAGTGGGAAAAGGAAGAGACGAGATTTTAGGGTTCCGATGGTGAACTTGGAAAGCCGCAGTGGACGTTCATCGGAGGGGATTGCGTGGGCCTTGTGGTGCAATGACTGCCTATTAGCCCGACGGCTATTTGATGGCCATTAGGTCTGACCAGACGGGGGTCGCTTATGATTCAATCATGTTCTCTCTGCAGCCGCGGGGTACGTGTTGTGAAAAAAGTGCATCGAAATTTCATGTATTGTGTGCGAGTGGAGGAAAATTTCAAGCAATAGGAACAATTACAAGCACAGGCCTTAAGCAACAATCAACTATATGGGCCTTGAAAGTGAGCAAAAATTTATTTAAAATTTAAAAAAAGTGTTATAAAAATTATGAAGTACGAATAGAGATCAAATTAAGATATGAAATATGAAAGTCAGTGGTAAATGAAAATATTATAAAAATATTCAAAAGTTAATTAAAATTAAAAAAAATTTGGTAAAAAAATTAAAATAATAATGACTATATTTAAAGAAAAATGAAATACTCCTAAAAAAAAATTATAACAATTAATTAAATAGTTTGAAGAAATTGACACTCGAGAAGATGATCATGGATGTGAATAACTTTATTCAACAATTTTAATGCAACGAGTAAAAAGCCCAAGTTCTTCACTTCCAATTACATATGAATATTTAGAGAAAAAAAACACCAAATGCAAGTTTATTTCAGTCAAATGAGCAATGTCTATTCACAATATGTATTAATAAAAGAGGAATAAACACAATTTTTCCGTTCGAGGAAGGAACGAGGAAAATATCAAATAATATTATATTTTTCGATTCAATATCTACGAGTTTGTGCGACATCGTAAAAGCTGAACCAAACAAAAAATAAAAACAGGAAAAGTGAAATGATCGGTGCTGAATAAATGCGGAAGATGAGAAAACGCGTTTGATTTATCTCGGCTAGGGCAGTGAAGGGGAGTTTATTTCGGTCTAGCTCGGCACTTTGGACCCTAAATTGGTTCGCATCTAGGAATGCACATGGCGCGCGCAGACAGTAAAAAAGCGCCGTAAAAGCAGCTAGGCAAGGTTCCATCTCGTAAATCACAAACGACGAGGCTCTCTCTCTTATTCGCACCGCGGTCGTTTTCCCATTCACAAATTTTAATTAAACGTTGCCCGCCGCCGGGGACGCACGTCCTTCTTCAAGGAATATCAACTGGCGAGAAAAGCTCCATTCTTCGCGGTGATCAGAAAATGTGTGCTCGGCGGCGAAGAGCAAAAACAAGCAAGGATGATTGGAACGAAATGAAATCGATCACTTTCCATAAAAATATAATTATACGACTAAAGTGTTATATGTTTTTTAAACTTAATCCAGAAGTAACAGGTGGTTTTAAATTTCAAAGATAAATCAAATTGATTGAAATTGAAAGAAAATGACATCCTTATTTTTCAAATTTAGTACACAAAGTAAGGAAATAATGTAATGTTTACTTTCTAATTGGAAAAATATTTATTCAAAAATAGAAATAAAACCTCTTTGCACATTTTTATTAAATTATCATTTTTATTATTAAATTGTTACAATATTTTATTAAATATATCACATTTTCCAAAGACACAAAATATTTTTGATGGCCATAAAGATTCTGGAAGTGGCTTACGTTTTGTCTTTTAGTTAAGAATTTATTAACACAATCGGTGAAAATTTTATCTTTTGCTTCTGGACAAATTTTATTTGTCATAATAATATTATATAATCAAATTCGAGTTTTATTTTAAAATAACATTAATTATGCTTTCTGCGAAAAAGTTACAAAATGTAACAAAAATCGTAAAATGACTCTTTTTTAATTTCAGATCAATTCCTATTAATTTTTGGCTTTCTGCCAAGCTTTTGAAATAATAAATCATTCACTCAAGGGCAATTTCTGCTCAGAAACAAATGGGAGTTTTGCAACTGAAGACCGCATAATGTCAGTTTCTCACTTGGAGTGACAAAAAACTCGAATGAGTGAAAAACCCAGCCACTCGTTATTTGTATAGCCTCAGTCTGGCCAATGCCAATTGTCATTTGTCAGGCTTCACCAAAAATCGCTCTGGTTCGACACCCCGACTGAATGATTTCAAGCAAAATCTCAAAAATACATTCGAATTGAAGCTGAAGAGAATCAATCTTACCTTTAATTGACAAGTTGAGAAAGTCGATCCGGAGCTGAACTACTTTTAGTCGAAATGCTTGCCGAGAACAACAACAAAAGTCGGACCAATCAGTGGAGTTAATGGAAAAGTCGGTGCTCGCGGTGAATAATGAAAATGCACTGACCGCGGTCGGCCGAGGCAAGGGGGCGTGCGAGCGCCACCTGCGGCTGCGAGAAGCCCCGGCACCGTCTCCAGATTTATTATTCTTGCCGCTAATGTATCGATCAGGCGGCGACGATCGGCAGCCACAGATAAAATTCAAATTGGCCCCATCGACAAAGCGACTGCTAATAGAGTCGGAGAGGCGGGCGAAAGTTGCCACATAGACCACCCTCCAAAATTAAATTAGGAAAATTATTCACCAAAAGGCAGCTTGATTAAACCAACTCTATTACATTTTATAATTAAATTTGTAATTTAATTATTATTTAGAACGTAAATTTTTGTATTTACTAACTATATTTTGAATCATTTTGAATATTTTCTTCATTTGATTAATTTTAATTCTTTTTATTAAATACCAACGGTATACAGACACATATATGAATATTAATTGTTTATGCATATAATAATAGTGCAAACTGAAGAGGTAGTAATTGCACTAAACTTTCGTAGAAGCTGCTTTAGTTAGTGTTAAGTCACTCTTTTTACATTCGAATAGGTGATACATTCCAATTTGTTCACCACATTTTATACATTTACAGTTTTTGTTTGCTGCACAGTGGTAATCTTTATTTTCACATAACAAATGATGAAAACCATGGCAAGCATACCTCGTAAAAAGGTGCCGATCTTTAAAGTTAGTCTCTTTCCATTTATTTTCAGTCATTGCAGGAGTGTTGTAAAATTGTGGGTCGATTTCTGCATTTGTAACATTTTTTACATTTAGGAAATTCTCGTATTCAGTCGTTTTAGTTAACGAGAATGTATTACAGAGATCAATAATGAGTAAATTTGTACATGCTAATTCATATGCATATCTCGATTTTGTATATTTGGAAAGACACATAAGCTTTTTCAAAAATCTTGATTTAACAGTCTCAAGTTTAATAAGGTCATTTTGGCTTAAAAATGGCCAAATAGCCTCGATTCCATAACTAGCTATTGGTGCTATAGCCAAGTTGAATAGCTTAATTCCTGCTGAAATTGACGATTTTGCTAGTGAGTTTAGTTTCAAGATTGCAAAGATTGCAGATTTGACTCTCTTTTCAATATGTTTCGTAAAGGTATTGCCTGATGATTAATAAATTAGTTTAATTTTTTAATTTCAATCATGAGCAAATAAATTTTTGAATTATTTAAAAACTAAAATTTTATGAACAGCAGTGCAAGAATCCGTATGTTAAGTCCATAGAAAATATAAATCAATTAATATTTTCAAAGTACGTGTTTGTTTTTTTCAGTTTTAAATTAATTCAAATTCATATAATTTCAGTAAAAAACAAAGATAATAGAAATTTTAATCAAAATCTTCATCAAATCATGAATTTTTCCCAATCATTTTATCTATAGTCTACAATTCGTAAATTAATTAGGAATAAAATCCAAGCCAAAAAGGTAAATAAACTTGTTTAATAATATCAATCACTTGAATGAAATTTTGATTGAATTTATTTTATCATGTACCGAAAACTAATTTGTATTAAAACAATTCATTTGTACATTCTATTCACCAATCAGACTCGAAGACCCTCCATTATTTTATCCGTGTTGAACAATAATTCTCGTTCATCAGACCGACAACGAGAGAGCGCGAGCAACGCTCTCATTTTGTGCATATCAATGTTGCAGCCAAGCGGACAATTATTCATAGAGGACGGCGAAGTAGTGCGATGGATGCTGGAACAAAAGGCAGCCGTGCCAATTAACAACTCTCATTGTTGAATTTCGCTAGGCGTAAAGTTCCCTTCAGCTTTCAAGAGCGGCTGGAAAAGAGAGAATTTCACCAGAGCGATTAATTAAAAATATCTATGCAGCGAGATCATTCGGTCTGTTTGAATAATTTATCCTCGTTATTTGCGCCTGGCAAACCCCGCCGATTGCTGAGCTGCTATCGACAAATGATTTTCATAAAAATTCTATCCCTGGTATTTGCGCAGCGTTCATTTGCAAGGCTGTAATTTTAGACAATGTTTCGCAATTCAGTGCTGAACCAATCTCATGTCAATTCTTCTGTGAAGGAATTAATTTGTGCCGGCAAATTATTATTTGGAAGCAAAAGTGTTCCGAGGATTTTTTTTTTATCCAGTAATCAGAGCAGCTGGAAATCTCTTGAGAGTTATTCAAAATTATTTAATAATTTCAAACAATTTATTTTCCTTGTGCACAAACTCAAAATTCAAAATGCCTCACATATGAAAGGGTTGATATCATTCACTGAAGCGGGGGAAAATTCCGGCCGTCCACTGTAATGAGACAAAAAAACGGCGAGCGGTCCACCGTCGTAGGCTTTGTTCGGATCAAACATTTGTTTCTGACTCGGGTTTAATTTTTGCGGGAAAAAAGACGTTTGGCTTTCGCAGTCGAAGCTGAGTCCACTGGTCACGTCCACCAACATCGCATTGGTGACCGCCCAACAACGTGGTCCATAGTTTCCGTTTGCAACTTCAGTGGAATTTTTTCATCAGACATTTTACTCAAAATTTATTTAAAAAAAGAACATACGCAAGACTCTAATACAATTCATAGCTTTGGCGTAATTCAACGGCGAAACCAACCGCATTCCATACTCGCAACATTTTTTCACCGCTTCAACGTAAGGAAATGTCTGTTAAAAAAGAACTTTTTAATTGACAAACAATGCATATTTGTTAGTTTCACTTACAAAATAATTCGAGAAAAAAATAATATACATCTTTGAGTCGCTGCATTTGCAAATTTGCGTCCCGTTGGTGAAGCCCATGCAACTCGACGCGTCTAAAGTTTTTCAAAATTTGAATTTGCAGTTTTAGTTTCTTTCAATGAACTTAATACTCATTGTAATATTAATCAAAGATAAATTGCTCCTCGCCGCCATCTGATTCAAATCGTGCTTATAGGTTGTTGATTAAAAAAAAATCACTAATTTCATACATCAACATTGCAATAAACGCAACCAGATGACCGGGACGACACTTCCAAACTCTGTAAATTGATTTATTCAAAGAAAAACAAGTACAGATTATTTTGCGATTGATCACATCTGACGTAAGATTGTCCAGGTTTGTGATCATTTGGTCGAAAACCGCCGGCGCCTTGTCCCTGGCGCACTTGGTCAATTGATACGCCTTGTCGCACTCGTCCATTCCATCTTCAATTTTTATTATTATTAAACTTGAAATTTATAAAAAAAATTACAAGTTTTGTTGTTGCACTCGTCCATGATGGCCATATTTTTCATCAGGTCGGCCGCGTTTTGAAAATTCATACTCTCGAGCATTGCGAACACCTCGCTCGCCACAAACTTCCCACCAACCAGCTTTTTTCCCAAAAAATAGCTAAAAAAAAATAATATCTATAGGAATTGTACCAGTCCGACAGCGTCCCCAACACATTGCAAAAAGCACTAAAAATATTAATTCACAATATTTTTCATATTAATTAATAAGAACTCTCACTTTCATCCGCAAATCCAATTTTGTCGCATTCTGTAGTAAATCGATTTCGGCTATAAATTTACACCAATTCATATCAATTGCATTAAAAATTCATGAAAATCACTTGAATTGACGTTGTAAATGAGCGAACATTCATCAATGATCGCCTGCTTTCCATTCTTTGACAGCGGGTTCCGTCTTTGCTGAATTTATTATCAAAATTAGATTTCTTTTGAAAAAATCGTTCAAAATTGAAAAATAAAACCTCGCAGACGTATCTGAACTTTTTTATTCCGTCGTAGTCGGCAAGAAGCACTTGTCCCTTCTGGCGCCAAATGTGAACGGCCACGTGGTTCTCCTTTCTTCCGGCGTTGTCCGGCTGTCCCGGCAACCACTTTTCCTCGCCCCGGAACAACCTTTTGGCCGAACAAAATCCGAAAACCGACTCGCAGCCCTCGTCAGAACCAGAAGTCCAGAAGGTCAAATTTTGAAGCTCTAAATTTTAAAAGGAAACATTTTATTTTCTTTTAAGCCTTAATTTGGAGTTTATATCCATAATCCATTGTGACGATTCTTGTCTTTATTTTAAAACATCAATTTGAAAACTCTCTCTTAATTTGTTGAATTTATAATAGAGTGAATTTTAAGATCCATTGAAAATATTTTTAACTTTCAATGACAATAAACTGTTTCAAATATTTGCGCTCAAAATCAAATTAAATTAACATAATTTTACTCAGTGCCTTTGATCATTTCGGTCGTGTTGCTAATTATGGCCATAGCGTCGTACTTGTGCTGCCCATCTAAACTCAGCAGAGACATGCCCAGGGCACAGCAGGCCTTAGTCGCTTCCAAGTACTGCAAAATAAAAAATTTCAACATTTGAATTCGAAATTAATGAATATTTTTACCGTTCTTGTGTCATTTTCAAAACTGAAGAGGTAGTTCCGCAGTTTGTGCAAAAACCATTTCCCGTGAAGAGAATGATCTTTAATGTTACGTAACATAAAATAACAATGCGTCAATCAGTTTCCACGCAAAATCTACTTTTTAGGATAGTTGATTTGTCTCCAGGAGATGTGGTGAAAAGCTGGGGCTGAAACGCGGGTTTTATAATTGATTTATTTTTAAAATTAAAAACAATAAAAAATTTACGTCTCTCTGGCAGGTGACATTTGGGCAAACAGGACTGGTGCATTTGGGACCCTTCGTCGGCGGTCCCTGATTTTAATTCAGTTCAATATTTAGCTAAAAAAGTACAGAATTTCATTTTAAAACCTGGCAAGCGTAAATGGTTTTGTCCGAGCACCGCCTTTCGCTGATTGAAACGGAGCCGCTCGTTTTGTTGATTTGCATCTGGACACAGTTCTTGTCCTTGTTGAGGTTGACCAGAGGCAGGACATCCTGCCAGGGCGTAGGGCCGTGTGCTGAGCACCAACCGAAGGTGCCGCTCGTCAGGTCCCTCGCGCCGCCCGTCCAGTAATTCATGTTGAACTTCCAGCCCTTGGCTTTTATATAATTATTATTTTTTTTATTCATTATCAGTGGTTTCAAAGATAAACCTTGAGTTTTCATGCACTCGAGTTTCTCTCTGCTCTCAATGCCGAAAGGCTGCATTTTGAGGCTGAAACATTTGTCTGAATTTTCGTGCCAAGTGCCCTTAGAATTTTACATTCAATTTTATGAAAGCAAAGAAAGAAAAAAATGAATTGGAACCAGAGCTTTTCCTAACAAAAAAGTTTGGCCGCACGCGTTCAACCAGAAACCGTGCAAGTCTGGATCTATAGGGATTTCAATTTAATTTTTTAAACTGAGATCATACTGTACGATTTTATTTAACCCGCAAGTTCGCCATTGGTTAAAAATAATGATCGCTGAAATAAAATATGTAATGATATAGTTTTCAAAGAGGAACAAGAATTCGTACGTTAACAGCGGCATTTGTTTCCGTTTTGCATTTTCCTACCAGTGCTGGCTGAAAAATCGTGAAACATTAGAGAGGAAGTTGAAAATAGGACTCGTGACGCACGTCGATGGTTGTTGTTGTTGTGGCCATTTTGGTTGAAGTTTTTTCAATTGCTTTCGTAGTTGAAAGTGTTGTCAGTGCTGATGAATCTGTGATTAGCGTTGAGTCTGCTTTCAAGGTTGTGTCCGAAGATTCAGATAACTGGGTGCTCAATTTAGGAGGAATTCTCGTTTCAGTGATAGTTTCTGTCCCAATGTTAGGTTCTGATGTTGCGACAAATGATGAAGTTGTTGTTTCCATATCAGCGGACGGTTTTGCGGTTGGAACCAATTCAGGAATTTCTGAGGTTGTCGAAATTTCGGGGATCTTTGATCAAAATAAACATGATTCATATTAAATAATTTAAAAATAATATTTTCAAAAATTTACCTGTGCGTCTATTGTATTAGAAGTTTGCATGTCACCCTTTGTCGATAGCGGTGAATTCAGAAAATCAGAAGTTTTGTCAGAAATGTCAGTCTGCGTGCTCGTTAATTCCCCCAAAGAAGTAATTGTTGTACTAGTTTCACGACTTCTTGTCGTCGAATTAGCTCCCATTATCTAAAAATAATAATAAATTATTCAATTATTAAACTTAATTATTCAAAATGAAGAAAATTTCTTTAAGATATGAACCTGAGTGTTCTTGGAGCGAGTCTTGGCCTGACCAATTGCAACAGAACACCTTTTTAAGCCACAGCATTTGATTATCTGCGGACGTTTCCCTGCGTTTTTTTTACTAAATGCTCGCCTTTCTATTGCACTCTGAAATCGGATCCGGATTTTACAGAGAAATTAAAATTTTCTACTTGCTTACGTTGTCTTGGTGAACTTGGACGGCGACGAGAAGGATTAAGAGCAGTAATTTTGCGAACAGAGGCATTTTATGCACTAATTTTGCTGAAACGCCGGAGCAACCAAAATGCGTTGTCAGCTTCTTTTTCCATCCGTTCGAGTTTTGTGAGTAAAAACTATAATAGAGCCCGTGGTCGTTTCCTGCGCTGCGGCATCAAAAAATGAAATTCAATAGATAGGATCATGCATAGTTTGGCCATCAAATATACGTTCCTAAAATGTTCAATTCTCTTGCATGGCATTTGCACTGCGGCAGAATGTATTAATTAGATTGCTATTTTATACAATAAAGGGTAATTTTTGATAATTAGGTTATTAGAATTTGAAATGGGGAATATATTTCACTTCGTGTTTCTTCCGGCAAAATTTTCCATATACTGTATATTTACATCATTATAGATTGTTATTTTATAATGAACATAATCGACAGAAGATGGAAATAAAAGATAGCTCTCAAAATTAAAATTTGTGACTGGTAAATAATTATTCTTGTACATATTCTTGACTAATTTATTCAATATTTAATAAAAAAAAAATTAGTCCTCAAAATGTTCAAAAGATTAAAAGCAGCAGATATTTGAATGATCTTTTGAATTTAGTGTAAAATCTTCTGAAACTAACATTCATAGGTGTCAAATTATAAATTATGCTTTAAATAGTTCTGTGTAACATTTAAAATATATATTTTTACCATTCAGCTATCAATAGAGGGAAATTCACAGTGCTAAAAAATGTAAATATTTAATTTATGATGATTGTTGGCTTAATAATGTGAATGGAGCTTACTTAATAAATTATCATTCATATCCAAGCACCAAGTCCCATAGACTACTTCCCACTACAGTTATCATTATTTGAAGACAGCAGTGCAAAAAATCATGTGTCGGAGATTCAGTACATATAATATTATGCTTCAATTATTTTAATATAAGCTTGATTTATTACTTTGATAATGAAATTTCGCATGATTTTCCCATATTAAAAAATTTATTGCTCAATCATACTATTTTCATAAATAATTAATTTTAAAATTTTTATCATTTCTTTCTACAATTTTTATTTTGTGAAGTGCATAAGCAACTCTACGTTCAAAATGTCTCGCATATGAAAGAATTTCTAGTATTCACTGAAATGGGTGAAAATTCTGGCCGGTTAGTAAAATGAGACAAATAAAAGGCCAGCGGCCCACCGTCGAAGGCCTTGTTCGGGCTTATTATTTTTTGTTCAAGACTCGGGATCAATTTTTGCGGGAAAAAAGATGTCTGGCTCTCGCAGTCAAAACTGAACCCACTCGTCACGTCCACCACCATCCCATTGGTGACCGCCCAAATTCCTGGAAGGTAGGATGCGTTTGCGACTTCGGTGTGGAAGTAAAAGTTTTCCATCAGAGATTCGATATTTATTTTTAAAACAAGAACATACGCAGGACACTAATGCATTCTACAGCTTTGACGTAATTCAATGGTGACAACAGCCGCATTCCAAACTCGCAGCATTTCTTAACCGAACCAGGGTAAGAAAAAGTCTGTCCACAAAATTAGTTTATTTTCATAGATTTGTCCAGAGAGTTTAAAATTTAAATTATGCTTGAGTTCAATGAAATTTGACTTACAAAATTATCCCTGAAAAAAATGGCGTACATCTTTAAACCGCTACATTTGCAGAGGTACGTCCTGTTGATGTAGTCGATGCAACTCGACGCGTCTAGTTTTTAATTAGTTACATTTCCTTTTAAATTAATTAAGTACTCACTTATATTTAAGAGGGTTAAGTTCTTCTTTGCCTCCATCTTTATCCATACCACGCAAATTAGTTGTTATTTTTAAAAAAAAAATATGAATTTCATTATTTCCTACATCAACACTACAATTTTCGCATCCTGAAGACTTGGTTGAAACTTCTAAACTCTGCAAACTGAATGGATCACAAAATTACAAAAAATTTCTTATTGATCACATCCGAAGTTAGGTTATCAAGTTCCTTGATCATTTGCTCGAAAATCATCGGCGCCTTGTCCCTGGCGCACCTGGTCAACCAGTACGCCTTGTCGCACTCGTTCATTCCATCTTTCAAGTTTTTATTAAACTCTTTTTTCCCAATTATTAAAAAAAAATTACAGGTCTTGTTGTTGCACTCGCCCACGATGGCCATGCTTTTCATCAGCCTGTCTGCGGTTTGCATATTTATTCTCTCAAGCATTGCAAACACCTCGCTCGCCACAAACTTCCCACCAACCAGCTTTTCCCCCAAAAATAATTTGAATAATAAAAATCATAATTATGCGCGTGAAAATTGTACCAGGCCGACAGCGTCTCCAACACATTGTAAAAAACACTAAAAAAAATAATTTGATTTTTCTTTTCAACGATGGACTTGTAAGAAAGCTCACTTTCATCCGCAAATCCAATTTGGTCGCATTCTGTAGTAAATCGATTTCGGCTATAAATTACACCAATTCATAACAATTGCTTTAAAAATTCATGAATATCACTTGAATTGACGTTGTAAATGAGCGAACATTCATCAATGATCGCCTGCTTTCCATTCTTTGACAGCGGGTTCCGTCTTTGCTGAATTTATTATCAAAATTAGATTTCTTTTGAAAAAATCGTTCAAAATTGAAAAAAAAACCTCGCAGACGTATCTGAACTTTTTTATTCCGTCGTAGTCGGCAAGAAGCACTTGTCCCTTCTGGCGCCAAATGTGGACGGCCACGTGGTTCTCCTTTCTTCCGGCGTTGTCCGGCTGTCCCGGCAGCCACTGGGCCTCGTCCCGGAACAATCGTTTGGCCGAACAAAATCCAAAAACAGACTCGCAGCCCTCGTCAGAACCAGAAGTCCAGAAGGTCAAATTTTGCAGCTCTAAATTTTGAAAGGAAACATTTTATTTTCTTTTAAGCCTTATTTTGGATTTTTCCATCCTTCTTTTGTTTTCAATATTTTTGATCATTTTAAAAACGATCTCATCTTGAAACCACCACTAATTAGGTAATAGCAGTGCAAATTTTCAAGATCATTTGAAATTTGTTTTTATGACGCTCAATTTTTCAAAAAACCGTTTCCAACTTTCAAATATCTTCATAAAAATTTAATATTTAAACGTATTATGTAATTTGCGTGCCTTTATTCATATCGTCGGTGGTGTTGCTGATGCTGGCCAAAGCGTCGTACTTGTACTGCCCGTCTAAACTCAGCAGAGACATGCCCAGGGCACAGCAGGCCTTTGTCGCTTCCAAGTACTGCAAAATAAAAAATTTCAACATTTGAATTCGAAATTAATGAATATTTTTACCGTTCTTGAGTCATTTTCGAAACTGATGAGGTAGTTACGCAGTTTGACCAAGAACCATTTTCCATGAAGAGAATAATCTTCAATTTACCATAAAATGAATAAAAAAAATACAACAAACAGTTTCTACGAAAATTCACTTTTGAGTATCATTGATTTGTCTACAGCGAAATAGGCGAAAAGCAGTGGCTATGCGCGAGTTTACATTACAAAATTTCCAATACAAAATAAAAACTTGATACGTCTCTCTTGCAGGTGACATTTGGGCAAACAGGACTGGTGCACGTGGGACCTTTCGTCGGCGGTCCCTGATTTCAAATAATATTTTAATTGTGATAAAAAAATCTCAATTATTTAAACCTGGCAAGCAAAAATAGTTTTGTCCGAGCACCGCCTGTCGCTGATCGAAACGGAGCCACTCGTTTTATTTATTTGCATCTGGACGCAGTTTTTGTCTTTTGCCAGGTTGGCCAGGGGCAGGACGTCCTGCCAGGGCGCGGAACCGTTGGCCGAGCACCAACCGAAGGCGCCGCTTGCCAGGTCCTTGGCGCCGCCCGTCCAGTAATTCATGTTGAATTTCCATCCGTTGGCTTTTTTTAAATTTTGTTTTTATTTCAAAGCAGATATTTTATTGAGAACAACCTTCCGTTTTCATGCACTCGAGCTTTGCTTTGCTCTCAAAGGCAAAAGGCTGCATTTTCAGGCTGAAACATTTGTCCGAGTTTTCGTGCCAAGTGCCCTTAAAATTTGGTCATCATTTGAAATAAAAAATCAGAATTGGTCTAGACCAGTGATTTCCCTAGCAGAAGAGTTTGGCCGCACGCGTTCAGCCAGAAACCGTGTACGTCCGGATCTGCATAAATTTAAATAGTGAAAAAGCAAAGTTTTTATCTTTTAAATGTAATCAATCACCCGATAGTTCTCCATTGGTTAAAAAGAGAGATCGCTGAAATTAAATGATAAGGCAACATATTTTTTCAAGTGGAACGTGAATTCCTACGTTAACAGCGGCATTATGTCACCATTGTTCGATTTTGTCGAAATCAGAAAATCAGAAGTTTTGACAGAAAAATCAGTCTGCGTGCTCAATATTTCTCCCAAATTCGTAATTATTGTTGCTTTTGTTCCACGAAAACTATGGGTCGAGTTATCGCCCAATATCTAAAAATCAATATTTATTGGAAATAAAGCAAATTTTTAATAGAAATGAACTTGAGTGATCTTGGAGCGAGTCTTGGCCTGAGCAATTGCGACAGAACACTTTTTTAAGCCACAGCACTTGATGATCTGCGGGCGATTTCCGGTTTTTCTTTTAAAAGTAGCTCGTCTTTCTATAACCACCAAAGTTTTTAATAAATGGAGACGTGAATTTATTACTTTTAACTTCCAATCACCATGTTTTATTTTTTGATTATCCGCACCCTGTGATCGGTTCAGAATGTTATGAAGACAATTAAAATCTATTTAATAGCTTACGTTGTCTTGGTGAACTTGAATGGCGGCCAGAAGAAAAAAGAGCAGAAATTTTGCCCCGAGAGGCATTTCAAAGTGTGAATTTGCTGAGCTAAGCCCCCTTACAACCGGATAGCGTGTGTGCGTGGCCAGCTTGTTGTTTTTCATCCGTTTGACATTTTACTAATAAAAAATTTTTCTGTTTCCTGCGGCAGCGAAAATGGAATTTTAACAGAAGAGATGGTGCGGCTGTCAAATGGTCTGCATAATATTTTGTTTGAATTTATCATTGTTCGGTGCTTGGAAGTGTGAAGGATCCTTGATGTTGAGGTCTTAAATAAAATCTGATAACATTTTAAAAAGTCTTATAAACTTAAATGTTTTGAATGGATACAATTTGATAGATTATTGATTATTGTGCATTAAATTGAGCACTATTTCCTTTGAAAGTTAATTAAATAGTTTTATTTTTAATTAAAACACAAAATAAATCATGTTAATAAATTCATATTTTTATTTCATCTTTTAAATCGATTACAAAAAAATTTCAAAGAAAATTGACTTTTAATTTTTTAATGTCTGTGAGCTTTCAAAAAAACTCACACATGGAATAATCGGCAGCAGTCAATGAATAGGGGTCATATTTAAATTGACTACTGACACTGTCATAATAAAAATGAGTGGCGAGCGGTCCAGCGCTGGAGAATTGGTTAGGATTATATCCTGGTGTGTGACTCAGGCTCAGGTTTTGCGGGAAATAAGATGTTTGGCTTTCACAGTCAAAGCTGAGTCCACTCGTCACGTCCACCATCAAACCATTTGTGATCGCTGGAGCCTGTGGTAAATGGGCAGTTTTCGCAGCTTTGTTGGAATTTTTCCATCAGCGATTTTATTAAAAATTAATTTTAAAAAAGAACCTACGCAAGGTGCTATTGATGCATTTTAAAGCTTTGGCGTAATTCAAGGGCGACAACAACCGCATTCCAATTTCGCAACATTTTTTCACAGATTGATCGTAAGTCAATTTCTGCCGACAAAATTATTTATTGGGGTCGATAATAATGATGTTTGCTTTACAGAAATCAACATAATGATATACATCTTTGAATCGCTGCATTTGATAAGGTACGTCCTATTGATGTACTCAATATAACTCGACGGATCTATTTTTAAAAATTACTCCTTCAATTTTGTTTCACTTTAATTACGAATCACGTACTCATAGTCGCATTTAATGACGTTAAATTCTTCTTTGCCATAATCTAATTCGAATTCACTGCTTGATATAAAAATTAATGACTATAAATTTCTTACGTTAGCGTTACAATATACACATGCGGACGACCTGGACGACAATTCAAAACTCTGTAAATTTTATGGATTAAATTAAATGAAAAAAGTAATTATTGTTCGATCAATAACATCTGACGCTAGATTGTCCAGATTCTTGATCATTTGGTCAAAAACCGCCGGCGCCTTGTCCCTGGCGCACTTGGTCAATTGATACGCCTTGTCGCACTCGTCCATTCCATCTTCCATTTTTATTATTATTAAACTTGAAATTTATAAAAAAAATTACAAGTTTTGTTGTTGCACTCGTCCATGATGGCCATATTTTTCATCAGCTCGTTCGCATTTTGCATATTTATACTTTCGAACATCGCGAACACCTCGCTCGGCACAAACTTCCCATCAACCAGCTTTTTCCACATCAAAAATACAAAAAAATTATTATTACATTTGTAAATTTTACCAGGCCCACAGCGTCTCCAACACACTGCAAAAAACACTAAAAAAATATTTAATTTCTTATTACATATAAAAAAAAAACACACTTTCATTCGCAAATCCAATATCGTCGCATTCTGAAGTAAATCAATTTCGGCTGAAATTAAAGACATTTATTACTATTGCAGTGCAATTAATTAAATATCACTTGAAGTAACGTTGTAAATAATCGAGCATTCATCAATAATTGCCTGCTTCCCATTCTTTGACTGCGGATTTCGTCTTTGCTAAATTTATAATCAAAATTAGATTGCTTTTGAAAAAATCGTTCAAAATTGAAAAATAAAACCTCGCAGATGTATCTGAATCTTTTCATTCCGTCGTAATCGGCAAGACGCACTTGTCCCCTTTGACGCCAAATGTGGACGGCCACGTGGTTCTCCTTTCCTTTGACGTTGTCCGGCTGTCCCGGCAGCCACTTTGCCTCGCCCCGGAACAACCGTTTGGCCGAACAAAATCCGAATACAGACTCGCAGCCCCCGTCCGAACCAGAAGTCCAGAAGGTCAAATTTTGCAGCTCTATTTGAATTTTACAATGCTATCTTATTTTTTCATTTTATTTTAATTAATTAAATTTCTTTAGGCACTCTATTTAACGTAGCAATGTTTAACGTCTTAATTTATATTAGTTTTTGAAAATGAAAAAGTGTTCATTCAATTTGCCCATGATTGTGCAATACAAATTATATTGATGTAAGAATTGACAAAAAATTTTGCAGCGTGCCTTTGTTCATTTCGACAGTTTTGCTGATGCTGGCCAAAGCGTCATACTTGTATTTCTCATCTAAACTCAGCAGAGTCATGCCCAGGGCACAGCAGGCCTTCATCGCTCCAAAGTTCTGCAAAAGAAAAATATTATCTTCTTATTTCGATATTAATGATCATTTTCACAGTTCTAGTGTCTTTTTCGAAACTGAAGAGGTAATTACGCAGTTTGACCGTGAACCATTTTCCGTGAACAGTATGATCTTAAATATATCACATTTTATGAAAGAAAATTAATGAAAACATCTTTCACAAAAATTTACTTTTCAGGATCATTGATGCTTCTCCAGCAGATGAGGTGAAAAGCAATGGCTGTGTGAGTTAAAGTAAAATAATGTTTATTTTCATAATTAAAAACTTGATACGTCTCTCTCGCAGGTGAAACTTGGGCAAACAGGACTAGTGCATTTGGGACCTTTCGTCGGCGGGCCCTGATTTAAAATTATTTCAATTTAAAAAAAAAATGCAATATTTTAAACCTGGCACGCGAAAATAGTTTTGTCCGAGCACCGCCTGCCGCTGATCGAAATGGAGCCACTTGTCTTGTTGATTTGCATCTGGACGCAGTTTTTTTCCTTGTCCAGGTTGACCAGGGGCAGAACGTCCTGCCAGGGTTTGGAACCGTTCGCCGAGCACCAACCAAAGGCGCCGCTCGCCAGGTACTTGGCTCCGCCCGTCCAGTAATTCATGTTGAATTTCCATCCCTTGGCTTTTTTAAAATTTATTTAGTCTTTTGACCAGGAATTTTACCAAGACCTTGAATTTTCATGCAGTCGAGCTTCTCTTTGCTCTCCAAGGCGAAAGGCTGCATTTTCAGGCTGAAACATTTATCCGAGTTTTCGTACCAAGAGCCCTAAAAATTAATTCATTTTTATGAAAATAAAATTCAGAATTGTTATGGACCAGTGATTTTCCAAGCAAAAAGGTCTGGCCGCACGCGTTCAGCCAGAAACCGTGCACGTCCGGATCTAAAGGAATTGTTTTAAGTGATAATAAGAAACGCGCGTATTTTGAAAAATTTATATAACCCTTTAGTTCTCCATTGGTTAAAAAGAAGGCTGGCTGAAATAAATTTACGTAACGATGTTGTTTTTAAGGGAAAATGTGAATTTTTACGTTAACAGCAGCGTTTGTTTCTCTTTTACATTCTCCAAACAGCGCTGGCTGCAAATTCGTGAATCATTAGAGAGGAAATTGGAAACGGGGACTCGTGGTGTACGTCAATGGTGGTGACCATGGTTGTTGTTGTTGTAACCATATTGGTTGAAGGTTTTTCAGTTGCTGTCGTGGTTGAAACTTTTGATAAATTTGTGGTTAGAGTTGTGATTAATTTTGTCGTGTTTATAGATTCCGGCGAGATGCTTGACTGCAGAGTGTTCAATGAGGTTAAAATTGTTGTTCCAGAAATAATTTCCGTCCGAGTGTCAAATTTTGTCGATTCCATTGTTGGGGTGTTCGATATAATGGTGGAAGTTCTTGTTTCAGTGATACTTTCTGATGGATTGTTAAGTTCCGAAGTTTTTGTACCCAAATCAACGGACGGTTTTGCAAAGGGGACAAATTCGGGAATTTCAGTGGTTGCCAAAATTTCCGGAATCTGTGATTAAAATAAACATGATCCGTTTCTTACATTTGAAAATAAATTTATTTTCCAAAACTTACCTCCGTGTCTGTGTCTGTGATGATAGAACTTTGCAGAGTTTCTGGGTTATTGTTGAATTCAGGCATTTTTGAGGCTGCCGAAAAGCTGCGGATCTTTGATCAAAATATACATGATTTTTTTTTTTTAAATTTAAAATTGTTATTTTCAAAATTTACCCCCGTGTCCTTGGTGGTAGAACTTGGCATGTCACCATTTGTCGATTCTGGGAGTGAAAAAAAATCAGATGTTTCGACAGCAGAAAAGTCATTTTGCGTGCTCAATAATTCTCCCAAAGTCGTAATTGCTGTTCCACGAGGACCCAGGGTCGAATTATCTTGCAGCACTATCTAAAAACCAGTCTTTATTTGAAATTTAACCATTTTTTAACGGAAACTAACTGGAGTGTTCTGCCCACTCTTGGAGGGAGTCTTGGCCTGACCAAAAGCATCAGAACACTTTACTAAGCCGCAGCATCTAATGATGTGCAATCGTTTGCCGGTGATAATTTTTATAACAGTTCTTCTTCCTTTAACACCAAAGTTTGCAATAAAAAGAGCCGTAAATTAAATATTTATTTTCAATCACCGTATTTTATGACTTGCTTTTCCGCGCCCTGTGATTGGTTTAGAAATTTTTAGAGAATTACAAAAAAAAATTATATTATTGCTTACGCTGTGTTGTAGAACTTGAGTGGCGACCAGTAGGAATAAGAGCAGAAATTTTGCCCTCGGAGGCATTTCAAAGTACCGGCCCGTACAACTGAAAAAAGTATGTGATGCCAGCCAGCTTGCTGTTTGCCATCCGTTTGCGATTTTACTTATTAAAAAGCTTTTGCTGTTTCCTGCAGCATCGAAAAATTGAATTTTTAAAAAAAAAAATAGATGGTTCGGCGGTCAAATGCGTTGCACAAAATTCTCCAAACACTTATTTTGAATTTGAACTCTTTGATTCTGAAACTAAATAAACTATTAATGTTGTAAATTCGGGGGAAATTAATATATTGCCAAATATAAATTGTAACAATCAGCAAAAGCTCCCATGTATGAAGCCTAAACATTGATTTCATTCTCAATTTTAAATTGTGCTCAAATGCTTTGAAAACAAGCATTAAATATTTAAATTTATTTTGCGGACGATTTCTTACCTAGCGCGCCTGGGTTGAATATTTCGTTGTTTCATATTTCCAGTGGAGGACAATCTTAAAACGCATATAATCAGTAATTCAAAAGAAATATTAACAATAAAATAAATTATGATTTAAGACTAATAATTAGATTTCAATTACAGAGTTTCTTTATTAATAAAAAATTACCCAAATGCAACATTAACGCGTTCAAAAATTATATTGAACTCGCATTATACGAGAGAGAAAAAACAAGCTCTCTTCAAACGAATCATTTTTTTTTAACATAAATTACATGAGATAAAGTAGATTTTTATGGAAAAGGGATTTCGGATTATGAATATAACTGGAAACCACCTTTTGACTCTCTCTCTCTCTCTCTTAACTTGATTTTACATTTTGACACAAGTAAATAAATTCCACTGTTTTTTTTTAAATTTGTTTATAACAAACCATAAAAAACCTCAAATATTAATAATTATTATTATTATTTCAGGTTTGTGGGCAAATCAAGGTTGCCTGTCTCGCCGAAAATATAAATCTCTTGATTCCGATCTACACCCTTGGGGTCAAGGTCGAAAACTCACACACCTGTTATTCAGCTCGTCTCTAATTAGCTTTCCGAGGCTGCGTGTGCGGCTCAACCCGCAAAGCATAGGCCACCTCGGTACCTAATAAAACCGCATTTCCAATTATGCACGCTCCGAACGAAAGGGAAGCAAAGGGTTCAAACGAAAAAATTATAATCGGGCGATAAAAATCAGACGGGTCAGAACGAATTGCGGGAATTCCAGTCGTTTATTAGTGTTTTTAAAATTTACGAGTTTGCGGCGCCGACAGTCAATACTCGCGCCCTGATGCTGGTCCTCGCCTCAACGTACATTAATGACGCACAGGGCCGAATCGATCTGGCCTTATGCAACCCGCGTGCCACACGTGACCAGCGACTTGCCGAACCACTTAAAATAATTGACGAAATGCACTAAAGTAAATTGTAAATAAAAAGAGTAAAATTCAAATTTAAAAAAAATCACTAAAAATAAAATAAAGTAAAATTTTAACGCTTCTTCAATTGAACATAATGGATAAAGTTTTTAAATATTTCATAACATCCTTTTATAATTGTATTATTTAATTTGATGGATTCATTACTTTTATTTAGAAATTTGTTGCTATTGCAAATATTGAAGGATTTATTTGAAATTTAATCGAATAAATGGTTATCAGGATTCAATACCGCATTTTGAGCACTCTATGCCTAATCCTGCAAAATGCGTGTCTACCTCTGGCTCAAATGACGCGTGATCTCGCTGCGGTTGTTGTGTCAAAATAATAACTCCGTCGACACGCGCGGTCCAATTTGCGATAACGTCCGCGCACGTTGCGAAATTAACGCTGTGGTGTTTTCCTTTAATTTCCGGCCTCTCGATCGTTCAATTTGCGCGACGACAACTCTCTGTGCTGCGACTCTCAAAAATCGATTGTTTTGCTTGGCAAACTTTGCAATTGACGTCGGCGGGGGTGAAGAGCAAATCCGCGCAGCTGGAAAATGTCGCCCAAGCCACAGACAAGATACTTAGTTAGCAACTCCTCTTGCCGTCGCGAGTTTCAAGAGAAAGACACAATTTTTCACCCGTCAAATGCACTTTATGGGAAAATTTCTTGAATGTCATTGAAATTAATGGTTAAAATGTGAGAAGCAAAAATCTTTCTGGCAATACTTCAAAAGGAAAATCATTCAAATTAATCAAAATAAAAAAAATTTAAGAAAGTCTTAAATACCTTCTAAATATAAGTAATAAAAGCAATGACTTACTGGAGAATAATAAAAATGACAAATTCATTGTCAGTGATAATCCTTAATAAATATAATTTTTCAAATAATTTATTGTTAAAATTATTACACAATGATAGTTGTATTAATGCAAAAAAAGTGGAGACTTACAATTTTGTTTACAATTTTTTAAGTTAATAATAACTTAATATTAAATGTGTCTGAAAATAAATGTAAATAAAAAAATTAATAAAATTTATTTAATATTACGCACAAAAAAATCTAAACTAAATTCTATTCTCAATTTATTGTCGCTGAATTTTTAAATATTAAACAAAATAGTGAACAAATTAAAACAATTTTACTTTGGGAATTTAGTAAACAGTTAAATTATTTACTGTTAATAATTGTTGGTAAAATTATCATTGCTATAATTGTTGGTGTAATTCAATAGTTTATTTAGTAAAATTAACTAACAGGGGCCACGATTTAATATTATTTTACTGAACATATAATATAGAACACTGGGAAAAATATATCAAAATATTTGGAATATTCTAAAAGTTTTGTGATGAAATTAAAATTATTATAATTTTTGATCAAAATTGGTTTTCAAGATTCCAAAACAAATTACGTACGTCATTTGCTCGTTTCAGTGCCAATTTTTTCTGCGCATATAAATTTCTTGTGCAACACATCTAATGTTACTTTCCAACTCGCCATAAATTGCACACGTCCATAAAGCGTCTGAGGCAAAGTACATTATGAGGACGGTGCGCGTAATGAAAATAATCCCCCGTCGTTCGCCCCATCGGCAAAGTGGTGCCTCCGTGCAGCGTAAATAACTTCTTGCCGGGGAGAACAAATTGCAAAGCGGCTTTTACTGCAACTCGCTCGGAAAGCAGCTGAGGAATTTCTTCTCTTTCCACCTTGAATTCTTAATCATGTGGAAACGCCGGTCTTGGCAAATATTGATCCTCTTTTGACCCGATTTTAAATCAATTTTCATCAAAAGCATTAATACTTTCATAATAACTTCACTAAAGACTTGCAGCTGTATTGAAACAGAAATCTGAAAATTAGGATGTCTTGATGTCTTCTAACCCTAATTTTATGCTAATTTAAATAAAATAAGTAATTAAATTTTCTGAAAGTTCACTCAATATAAAAAGATTTTGTTTTTTAGGAGCTTTGTTGCCTCCGAATAAATTTTATTTGAACTTAATTAACTTCAATCTATTTAAATAAAAGGTTTTTCATGAAAACTCTAAATTGAATTAAAATAGAACTTTTTCTTTTATACATTTGAAACCACTAGCTAGTATTTATTAATATAATTAAAAAATTTTGCATCGATAAAGGAATAATTTTGTTAAGAAATGAAACAGCAGGGGTGTACCTTGATAACAGACCATGTTTTCCTCAAATCCAAATTGTTACATTGTTACAAATAACAAATTACATTATTATGATTCGTTTACTTCTCATCTTTCTTCTTCTTCTTCTTTCATATTTAATAATTAATAACGTTCCCATCTATAAAGAGCGACGCCAGCGTGCGCGCCGTGCCGCACTCTGTACACACTTGAGGGGGGGAGGGCGGCGCCGCCGGCGCCGACCCTTGCCTAGGGCCCACCGTGAGGGCGGCGCCGGGGCCAAGCCCGGGCGGCGCGGCCGACCGAGGCGTCGGCCAAACACATGTAGACTTAAAAGAGTTGGGACGGCATGTATATATATAATTATAATTCATATATCTCATTTTTACACATCGTGTATCACGCACAGCAATAAACGAGAAAAAAGAACTAATTCATCATCATCATCATATTTCAATCAGTGTATGCAAGTGTGTGTGTCTTCCTAATTCGATAAAAAAACTGACCCATTTCGTCTTGTATCAATTAACTATCACCGGTATAGTGTGTGTGTGTGTGTGTGTGTGTGTGAGTGTGTTTATGAATGAGTGTGTCTGTCTCTGTATTTATTAATTTTCTTCTTCTATAATTGTCGCGGTAAAAACAAGATCATCCATTTGTCATATCAGTTTACATTATTTACTCGTTATCTATTGGAGGTAGTGGTCGCTTTTGTGTTGTGTTTTTTTTATTTTAATTACTTTTGTCATGAATTTATTTTCCATTCAACTTGCATAAAAACGGGTCGCTCGCCGGAATTATTTCCGATTCCGCGCGCGCGATTTCTTTTATTCTATCCATTGGCTATGATCAACAAGTGGGTGGATTTGCCCGCGATGTCTCGGGCCTTCGGGTCCAACAACCCTTTCATCTGGGACAAAAATATAATTCTAAAGGCCGGAGACAGCGGCGGGCTGAATAATTAAATTTGTTTCTTGGCCCGTTGGAAGGATATATATTTTTAATTCAATTTAAATTTAAATCGGAGGGGAAGTGAAATTTTTCACATTTTATCAAGTGTTTGTTTGTCTTCAATTTTTTGAATGAATTTGTGTGTATGTCAGGGTGGTGTAGCTATTTCATTTACATGCGTATGTTGTGTCTCTCGTTACAAAAACTTAATATAATAATTAAACGCTCATATTTGATTGATTCATTCAGTCCGATGCATAAGGTGGCACTAAAAATGGGGGGTTTGGAAGAGTTAAAAGTGAATTATATATGGTAGGGCCGATAGGCGAGCTGGAGAAAATTATCGGATTTGACTATTTTGCGTTTTGATTTTGTTGGGTTTCGTCTGCCGCGGGGCCGAGGGCGGCGCCGCCGGCGCCGACCGTCCGCGCGTAAAATTTAAAAGAGCACAGCCTTGGTGAGTGATCTGATTGGGTAAGATTTTATTATAATTAGCGAATTCTATGCCAGCAGAATTTTAATTTTAATTTTTTGCAATAATTTCGCGATTGTTCGGGGGTGCGTGGGGGCGGCGGGGGTGGCGCCACGGCCTCCGCGGGCAGACAGAAAACTAATATTGTACAGTTCAGAGCAAATTATCGACTCAAAAACATAATTAAAATAATCATAAAAGTCAAGAAAACATGGCGACATTCATGGTCACATTAAGCTCGATTAGTTTTCATCTTCGGACATTCAGCATGTGTTTGTGTAATTTAATTTTTTCTTATCAATCTCTCTCAAAAGGTTTGTAAATTTTCCAATTTACGTAATATATATGCGTGTGAAAGGAAAAGTCGGGGCTGAGAATATAATTTTCTCAATATTTTGTTCAAAAGTTGCTAAAAATAATAAAACTAATTAATTAAATTTAATTACAAAAAGAAAGAACAACTTTTTCTTCTTCTTCTAATCGAAGCGAATTAATTAGAAAATGAATTAAAAACGAAGAAAGGAGCGGTACGAGACCTGAAAATATCACAAACAAGTCGTCTATGTAAGCAAACTCCACATCCATTTTTCATCAATTTGCATACGATAATGGCAGTGAACGTTGTGACGCGCATTTGTATTTTTATCATTTAATAAAATTTCCTACTGCGTGTGGTTGTGTGTTTTGTGTGTGTGATCGGGTTCGACATTGGAATCGTCGCTGATCAAAAAATGGAGAGGTGAAATTCACGTGTGTGTTTTTTTTCTTTTTTCACTTCATTCCTGTACATAAACCGTCTCTCTCTATCAGCTAGCATCATTTAGGTCTCGTACGCCATCAATCAATTAATTTTAATGCTCGTACCAACTAATTACCGCTATGTGTGTGTTTGTTTAATTAATGTACCGTTTTTTCTTTTCTTTATACAACACATTCAGCTCGGTTTTTTTCCACACTCGCTCGCACGGTTACTTAATCTTAACATCATCATTAAGCGCTTCCTTCTAGCGATAATTTTAATAAAGCCTACGAATTACTTCTTTTCTTCCTCCTCTGTTAATGTATTATATAAAGTTCCTACGCGTCGCGTGTGTGTATGTGTGTGTGTGTGTGTGTACGATTCTTAAATTAAAGGCGGCTTCTTCACCCTAAAATCATAGCTATGTAATTTTATATACCCTAGCTCGGAGTTTTGTGTTTTTTCTTGCAAACATTTTTACACATCTTTCTTTTTTTGGTTGGTTTTTTCCACCGGTTTTCTGAGCTACTTTTTATATCGTTACTCTATTTACTTTTTCAATCCCCTAAGATTTGAACAATCATTTTGAGCGAGTTGATTATATGTATATTAAAAAGGATGATTTTTTATACACAAAAGTATATTATTATGAGACACTCAAACGAAAGTCATTTGTAATAATGTACCAACATTCAGTCACACGCATACATTTAATATATATATCGTATTTATAAAAACATCTCTATCAATGACAAAAAGGCATAAAACGTGTAACCGGAGACACGTATAGATTTGCATCAAAACGGTGGCGCGCATTTTTAATTCGCATTTCTTTTTAAATTTCGGCCAACGAGAATTTCTCGGCCTTGTCAATTAAAAACTAATGATGAATTATACAGCTAGACGATTTACAATACAGCAACTGAACGACGATTCAAAACGAAACACCTATCTCTGTATTTTTCGTATGTACTCGGGAGCCACAAATAATGAATTTGAGTGTTGAAAACACACCAGCGAGAATTATGCAAACAGCGAAGATTTTAGAAACGAATTCCAAAGAAGTTGAAGAACGTCGCGGGGTCAAAGACCGGAAACATTGAATATAATTTAAATCGCGCTTTCTTTTTTGTATTATATATTTCTATTTTCCAAGAAAGAGTACTGGTTTTTTGTATTATTCACTTTTAAGGTGCGTGACACTTTTTTTGCAACAATCCTACATATTTCTTTGCGTTTAAAAACCGGGATTAATTCTTTTGTACAGCAAAAAATATCCGAATGATTACATTTGTAAAACGTTCGTTGGATTCCGTACTATTATATTTGGATATCAATAATTGATGTCTTCTGTGTGTGGGTGTCTGAGTGGGAGTAGTTTTGTGTGTGTGTGATCGCAGAGTTAATTTGGAATTTTCCGTAGAGGTACTCTATAAAAAGACACTTGCTGGGATATTCCGAGTGAAAAATAAACAATTCATCGTAAACTGTTTTGTACTCGCGCAGTTGCAGCAGGAATTGAATGGTTCGGCCCCCCAGTTGATGCACCGATTCAATTAATACAATAATTAGTTCATTACTCATAAGTGTGTGTGTCGGAGTGATTTTCAGGGAGAAGTTCCGATTATCCACTTACACGTCTTTAAATACCCGTAATTTACAGATATTTTGAAAGCAGGAAAGTTAAAATTTATGGCATGATTGATTTAAAAAAAAAAAAACCGGTTTGAGCATCAAAAGGAGAAAATCACTCTCTATTTAAAGTTATAAATTTGATGGACAATACAAAAAAGTGAATTAATGAGAGGGGATCGTAAAAAATGCCACTGTCATTGTACCTGAGATAATTCAATTCACCGTCACGTGAACCAAAGTTTAGCGACAATAGGTGTGGTATCGTAGTATGGTTGGCAAGAATATAAAGACAAAAATCGCGTTGAATAAAAAAAAAGGAGAGACAGAGGTGAGAGGCTTATTGTTAGTTGTCAGTTTGCAAAATTCCAAAGTAACTCTTGACGCAGCAGCTGTCGGTGGAGGAGGAAAAAGCCAATTTTGTACTTTGTGTGTGTGTGTGAGTGTTTTTGAATGTGGTTAATTTGTAAGACAATAAACCGGCGCGCGCTCCTCTTGTTGGACAAAAAGAGTTGCGCCGTTTCAATTGCCAAGGCATTTCAATTATTTTGTATGAATGTGTGAGTGCACAGGTATTTGTTTCTTTTGTTTAGAAAGAGATAGCGAGAGCAGGAGAGATATATTTTAAGTAGTGTCAGCTTAAGAGTGGATGTTTGTTGTACATATTTACGGAAAACGCAAATTTCTTTGTTCTCGGGAGCAACCGGCGAAATTGCGTCGAAAACGAATGGAAATTTTTAAAGCTCGGTATGATTTTTCTTAAAACTTTTTTATCTTTCATATAATACGTTAAAACTCTTGGTAAAATGGGCCGGTTGTTGATTCGCAATTGCTCAAAACCAAGAGTGAAGTTCCTTTTCGAATCGCGTATGTTGCTCTAAATTATTTTAGTTGGTTAAGAATGCCTCGAATAAGTTCAGCAATGAAGTGGTTGTTTAGATAGGAGAGAAATTTGGTTTAAATGCAAAAAACGAGTGAAAAAATGGCCTGCCTTGATTGCTGAATTCGGACATGTGATCGCGCGTCGTTTTTTACCATATTTATACTAAACTTAGTTAGTTCAATGTTGTACTGTAATTTTTTCGTTCTTAAACGCTAAGGTCTCTTACTTAAAACGAAGAGTGTTAAATCATAAAGACTACCCTCTAGATTTAGCGCAGATCTAAGTAAGCATTCCTCGGTCCGTCTCAATTTCCGATTGTTATTTTCAGGCGACTCTTTTCTTTCCGTGCGCGACTCGATCGGTTTATGAAACCGAAATATGTAAAATTGGAGGCGGTCAGCGATTTTTTACGTTCCCCACCGTCTTGTCTGTCAAAGTGAGTGAGCAATAGCTAATTTTTTTTCTTTCTTTTTTTAGTCAACGTTAAGTCCGTTTCGTTACAAAAATTATTTCGTTCCTTTTTCTAAAAAATTACACTTTCCGTTTAGAGCTGCCTTACACGAATACATACACGATGTTCACCCAAAAGGGTCCGTTAAAGACCTAACACAGCCTGAATATCTTCAAATAGACACTCACCATTCCCATCAAGATCTCCCCACGGGGGAGAGTTCGTTCACCTTAATCCAAGGATAGTCACTCGCGACCTGGCTCAGCCCGACTCCTGCGTCTGTGTGTGTGTTTTTTTCCCATGCTTGTTATAATTTTGCCAGCAAATTTGAATATTTTCTCATTCATGCTACACAATTTTTTATGCATAATTACTGTAGGCACGATATTGACCAGATAATAAAACAAAAGAATACAGCCATCACATTAAATTTACGCCCCCAACTTATGAGATTCTCGTCCGGATCGTCTCCGTCCGAAACGTGAAGGATTTGGGGTGGTGAAAGAGAAAAGAGAGCCACGAATATCACGACGTCCATAACACAATTCTTTCGAATTTCCAAGACCGCCTCCATAAAAGCCGCGAGAGCCGAAGCAGCAAAATCATTCACATCTCGGTGAGTTTTTTTTTTATTTCGATATAATTGCGTAAAAGCCAAACCTGCTATAATTTCGTTAAAACACGGTGATGCTTTTTTGCTCAGCATTTCGACATCAATTCAAACGCTCACTACAAATATATGTTTTGTAAAAAATTGTTCCCAATCATATTTAATTACCTACGACGAAAGCTACGATTTCCGCGCGCTTCTTTTTTAATTTTAAATTTTTTTCTGCTGCTCTTCGGGAAGCAATAAGAGTCCCTTAATTGCCGCACAAATGCCTTCCTTCCCACTAGTTGTTGCTGTTATGCTGATTAACGTTATCACACTTAGTAATTAACAACACTTAACACTATATTAATATTTCGCATGCATTTCTTCCGCGTTTTTAGTAAAATTCAATCCCGGGATTTTATATGTGTGTGTTTGCTCACGTCCTTTCGTCTGGTATACCACGTCCATGTGTGTGTGTGTCGCTTATGTAAATTCTAGATCCAAGTAAGTGTATCGCCAACCTCTATTTCAAGTGTGTGTGTGTGTGTGTAAGAGTGAGAGTTTTTAAACATTCAGCTTCTGTCAACACATCCATAAGGAGAGAGAGAGAGAGAAAGAGAGAGATATTGTTATACAGCGAAAAAGAAGAAGAATACAAAGAACAAACACAGAAAATCAATCAATTGCGTGTATATAGATTTACATAGATATATCAATGTCAAGCAGTTTTTCTTTTTCCGGGCGGGGTTAGTAAGTATAGTACATGATTGTGAAAGATATGAAGAGACAAACGTGTTAGAAAACATCATCTTTCAATAATAGATAGAACATTATGAAACAACTATATGTTTAACATCAATTAATATAAAACATTTCAACTTGAAAGGGTGTGTATTGAAGGGACATTAAATGTTTGGGTGTAAGTTTTTTGCTCGGCAAAAACCAATACGGTAGTAAATATATATGAATATACTATTATTTCTGATTCTCAGCTTTCGAAGCTTTGTGAGATTTACTGCAGTAATTTTTAATTTCATCCCCTTCGAGTGTGATTTGAAGGAGCATTCGATGCTCTTCGGTGATTCAAAATCACACCACCCTCGAAGTATTTAATCGGGCTAGGAGATTTGCATGTATTTTTCTTCGTTTTGACGGAGCGAGCTATTAAATTAAAACAAGATAATCACTTGGCCGTAATATATTCCTGAGTGTGGTGTTTTTTCTGCCTTTGAAATGAATAAAAGAAAATTAAGCAGGCTGTCATATGGTGAGAAAAATTTAATGGTATATAAAATCTGATTTGGTAAAGTAAAGCTCGTTATGTGTATTGTAACTAGAGGCGGCGGCGCGACCCTTTGGCGGCGGCAGCACCAGATATTATAAGAGAAAATGCCCTAGAACGAGGCCGCCGCCTCCGGAAGGGCCGCCGCACAAAATCGGTAGAAATAAAAAGAAAAATATAGAGTACAGCAGAGACTAATCAAGGGACTGGTCTAATTCCGGGCAAACAAGTAGCCATCTTGGTAAACTATTGAAATACATACATGTTTCAACAACGGAATAAAATAACACAGAGAGTGCAAGAGCAATTGTATATAAATATTAGCCGGTGAGAGAGTGCAAGAGTAAAGGACACACCACATCTACTGTAAATATATATTTAAATTGAGCATCCATATTTAATTTCAGACGATCAATTTTTCCAAATGCGTGGGTGTCTCACATGGTAATTTTATTTTTTTAATTTTTTCAGCTCATTAAATACAATTTTCTCGAAAGGCTTGGTATATATTCTGTGATTTTGATGATTTTCTTCATTTTTATACTGACTAGTTGCGGACATCGTCGGATGTTTATGTGTCTGTTCGTCTGTCTGTGGTTTCGGGCCTGTCCAGCAGGAGGGACGGGTTTGCTTGGAGAAAATAAAAGAGTTGATGCAGACAGAGGGTGTGCAGTGCGGAAAGGAGAATGGCAACCGAATTCTGCAGCAAGCAAAACGAAAGGAGGAGATTTGGCACAAAATCTGACGCAATCACAAGGAATATTAAAAGCTGCTCTCTCTTTTCATTCTTTCTAAATAAATGACTAGAATTTAGTCAAAAATATAACAATTAAGGGGCGAGTCTTCAAAAAAGTGTTGTTAAATCATTAATAGGCAGCTGAGACGACGATTAGTCCTTTACTTATTTTAAAATTAAGCATTTTTTGATCTTCTAGGTCCGTGTGATTGATATGAGCAAAAAGGATACAGCACAAAAAATATACTAAACCGCACTGCGGCCGTAATTAAAACCGAATTAAAAATTATTGATTCTTTTTGAAAGAATTCCATATTGTTTGATTGATTCTCTCAAGATTGATTTCCCTCTCCATGACACGAATCAAGAGCCCTCCTCCACAATTGTTTTGCGTGTGTTAATTAAAAACTTGAAAAATAATTATTTACAACGAATACATAAAATAAACCTACTCCCGGATAAAATGTAAGAACGAAAGTTAGCATGCACACCGAGTTAATGAAACCAACAGCAATCAACTCATTAATTAATAATTGTTCTTGCTCGCTCTTTATGCAACCTAAACTTAGGGGGGCTCAACGTTTGCACTCTCACACCAATACGTTTGAACTCTTAGCCCTGGTGCGAGGCTGCAAAACTACACGCAAAATATATTTATTTTTACAGTAATAAGATAGGCAAGGTTATAGCGATGTGTGTGATTTCTGTGTGGTATTTTTTTTCTTTCCATTTTGCTAACTAACAAGAGGAACTGCATGTGATGTGCAGCAGCAGTTACAACGAGGTAGATAAAAGTTCCATTTTACAGTTCCCGAAACCTTTCTTTCTTTCTTTCTTTCTTTTGTCAGGGGCCGGGGAACTAAGTTTGTTTGTTTGTCACAGTGCTCGGCACTTTCTTTCGAGAGGGTCCGACCAGAGGGGCTAGCGGGATGGTATTTTTGTGGTGTTTGCAACACGTCAACACGTTTTGGAAACGCGAACAAAAATAATCCATGAGCATTCAATACTTTGTAGATATCAACATAAATTAGAAAAAAAAGTGATTTTTTTTCTCTCAAACAGCGTAAAATTCTTGATTTGCTTCCAGAACGGAAAGTTGTTTCGAGTGTAAAAATAATTATCGGTTAACTATGGAATACTGCAACTAAAAAACTTTTTCAAAGTTTATAAAATCGGGCACATTCGAAATAAATAAATATATGTGTGTGTATATATCAATTTTCTGGCTTGTGAGTGCGGAGAGTATTCAAAACACTTCATGTCGCATTATTTTGAGATTGTTGCCTTCGAGGCTATGATCTGCAGCTTTTTTGTCTGTCAAAAGCGCTTGGTAGTGTGTTTGTGTGTGTGTTTCATGGTCCATCTTACACTCGCTAACATTGGACAGAGGCTGGCGCGGCACCTCTCAGAGGGTGACTCCAGCCCCCGAGTAAATAATTATTATGTGTGAAGGTTCCTTGAGGTCCTGCTGCCAGAGCGGGACTGCATGTAAAAGTTTCTTGTGAATTGATAAGATCCTTGTGAGGTATATCAAGTAGTGTGTTTTCTTCCTGAAGTCGAGACGCAGCCTACTGGCTGTGGTTGGGCAGCGGGAAACAGCCCGAGGCGGCGGCCGCCGCGGCCACTGCGGCGCTCGCGGCGGCCGCCGTCTTCATGCTGAGCTCCGTCTTGTGTTCGCGCGCGATGTGTCGACGCACCGTGTTGTTGCGCGTGAACGTGCGCGAGCAGAATGGACATGGCACGCGGATTCCCTGATGGCGCTGCCGAATGTGCGCGCGCAAATTCGTCTCGTAGCCGTACAGCCGCTCGCAGAACGGACACTTCAGCTTTTTGCCTGCGAAATTGCAATCAAATATTAGCATTTTATTCTGCAGCGTTCAAATGAATTTGAATGTGAACATGTTTCATGATCAGAGAAACAAAAACTTCAATTCCTCAATTATTTTAATTTAAAAGGAAATATGAGGACTTTTTAGTTTGTCAAATTCGTATTAAGGAAACGTTTGTGGTGAATTGCAAGTTCCAAATTTGTTCATTTTTCCTTATTCTAAAAATGATATTATGTTCCAGAATAAAACTTGAAATTACAAATTTTGACATTTTTGCTCAATTTTAAACAAAAAATTTTTGAACGATAGTTTCACAAAAATTCACTGCAAACAACTTCCCCGTTGACCTCGAGGTCATAGATGATCAAGGTCACTATCACTTATGACTTCAGGGGGTAATTGAAAAACTAAAAACACAAAATTCTTATCAAGGCTACGCATGGATATGAAAGTTTCAAATACAAAAAAGGTAGCCCAAGTCATGTAAATTAACATACTAGAAATATACTAGAAATAGAGATTGAAGGTCTATTTTTTTAAATATCTTCACCCGAAGCATGGAAAATCGACAAAATTCAGTTTCCTGAAGAGGAACAAGAACACCAGTTTGGTCAAAATTTGATCTCTTTTGTGTTTTATGTCATTTACTAACCAAAAGAAAAAAAATGCATTCTGGTTCAATTTATTACAAAATTAATGAGAATAAAAAATTTCTAAATTTAAAAACAGCAAATTTGGGTGACGATGTATAAAAAAAAACTAAAAAAACATGTAACAAATGAGAATAGTATGTTTGAGAAAGCTCCAAATTCATCTCAAATGTCTTCTAGAGGCATCAATAAAAAAAAAATGAAGGTGCAAAAAGAGGTTCTATAATACCAGCAATAATCATCACAGGTGTGATTAAAGGGATAATAGAAAGAAAATGATAGGAGCTTTTGAGCAGATGTTAAAGATAACTTCAAATAATTGAGCATAATACCATTATTATTATTATTTTTCTTTGATTTGGTTTTTAAATAGTGAAGAATGTAACAAATAATAATCTATTTTAAATTTCATTAAACAAGCTTTCTTTGAAAAGTTCGTTATCTAAAAAAGAGATATTGAATCTTTGACTCTAGCTGTATTGGGACAAACCAAATTTTGTGTAAAAGAAAAACCAAAAGAAGCACTGAAAAAGTATGCAACCGGTTCAACATCACACCAAAGCAGGTTGCATGTTCTGATATTTGAAAGGAGTTAAATTTGCGTTAATTATTTCATACTCTAATTTAAAAATCTGGGGCATTTCAAAAGTAATTCTGAAAGAATTTAAAACATCTTGATCTGATTGGGCCTAAAAATGTATTGTATTTGTTTAAAAATTATGAATAAAATATGCAAATCAATGTTTTAAGAGCATAATAAGTGAAGTCAAGAATTTCAGCTTAAATAGAAATAATGAAAATAATAGTAATTTTGATTTTCAGCATCAATTTGAGCGGAATGAATATGAAACTGACCATCAGGCGTTGCAACACTGCCGCCCTTGTGGGCGGCCTGTTTGGTGCTGGCGTTCCAGAGGGAGGCGGCCATGGCCTTGTCGTTGCCGGAGGCGGCGGCGGCGGCCGCGGCCACCTGCTGCTTCAACTCCTTGAAGCTGACGGCACTGAGCTCGTCGCCTCTCAGTCCGGTGGCGTGGAGGGGCTCCATCTTGACCCTGAGGTCGGTGGGCACGAGGCTGGTGGAGGGCGGCCGGCCGCGCTTGCGGCACACGGGGCTCTCGGGGCAGCCCTCGTACGAGGAGCCGTTGCCGCTCGACTGGCTCGAGCCGACCACCTTCTCGTCCTTGTTTGACTCCTGGTCGCGGTCGCCGCTGCCCGACCCCACCGACAGTGGCGGCCGGTCGTACACCGACGAGTTGCTCGCCGGGTTGCCGCTGCTCGTGCTCGCCCTGTCCGTTGCCTCGCAGTCGTTATTGTACCTTGTTGAGTCGCCTGTTTGTCCTTCGTTATGTCCCCTGCGAATAATCACAGCAAATTAGTAAATTCAATAATTAATTCTTTACTAAATAATTCAAGCTGAAGCTGGAAATGCTTATAAAATATAAATATTTTAGATTATATCGTAAAATACTGTCATCTTTTTCAAAAGTATTCAAAGGTTGATTTAAAATGTTTGATTTTCATAAAAATATGATGTGTACGTGTAATTTTAGCAAATTGATTTTTACCGGGATAGCTATTTCTAGAATTTGTAGTTTCATTTAAATATTTTGAATAATATCAATGATGCATCTCGTTTTGGGCAGAGATTGCAGAAATAACCTTAATTTGGAAATAAAAGCACAAATCATTGTTTGATTTAAATTGTAATTGCATTCCTTCTCTCAAACTTAATAATAAAAAATTATTTCAAAAGTTCAAGAGTCATCATTTGATTTAAGTGTAGCTTTATCTTAGAGTTGATGTGTAATTATTAAAATAATTTCAAATTAAATTATTATTCATCAAAAATTAATTTATGTTAACACACATTTCTGCTGGAAATTGGTTATGGTAAGTTTAACCAATTTTGGTACTAAAAAATTTCCATAAGACCAATATAAATTTTCAAATTTAGCTACCTCAGTTGTTTCATTTTGTCACCTTTACTGGGGTGATATGATCTTGGTTTGATGAAATATTCATCAATTTTAAATAGGCCAATTTTGAGGGTAAAAAATACTATCAAAGTTTATCCGGCCAAGACTCACAAGATGTAGGACAAATAAATTTTCAGACAAAAGCATTTAGGAGAAATGCAAAACAAATTAGGACAAAAATTTTGGGATGAAAAATTTAGGTCAAATGATTTTTTGAACTTATGGGACAACCGAAATAATGATAAATGCACCCTCCCTTAAAATGAATCTTTTTAATCTTGTTTTTTTCTAAATTTTCATTATCATCAATAAAAACCAATTCTAAAATTTGCACTGAAATTGCCAAAACTGCTATATAAAGAAAGAAAATTCTTTTTTGAGAACCAATTTGTAAATAAATCTCAAGTATAAAAATTTGGCAATTTTTTGAGCTATTTTCACCTGTAATTAGCAGCCGTGAGATCTGCAGGGGAGAGGGTGGTGGAGCGTCCCTTGCCGTCGCGCAGGACGGAGGCGCGGATGATGGCGGCGGACGAGGAGTCGAGACAGGAGGAGGGGCCGTTGGTGCCGCCCGAGTCGGCGTCGGCGAGCGAGCGGCGCTGGCGCTTGTAGGGCACCGTCGGGGGCATGGCGACGACGGCCGAGGTCGAGTTGGAGCGTTCGTACGGCCGGTGGTACGACGGCATGTAAGGCGCGATCACCGAGCTGAAGGTGGGCGTGGTGGGCGAGGTCAGGTCCGTCGGGTCGGACATAGGCGACGGCACCGAGTGGTTGTTGAGCTTGGGCGTCTTCCTGTGCGGCGACTGGCCGCTCTCCGAGCACGCCGGGCTCGCGCGCCCGTCCAGGTACGTTTCTGACGAGGCCAACTTCTCGTGCTCGATCGACAGGCCTTTAACCTACAAAATTAAGTCAAAATTAGTTTTCTTCTAAATTAAAACTCTCATATTGACAAAGGTTTCAACAGTTAATTTTGTTGACTAATTCTTTAAAATTGTTTGCTAGAATTGTTTGTTATAAATTAAGAATAATTAAAAAAAACTTCATTTCTGTGAAGTTACTGTAGTATTTTTACTTATTTTATAGATAAAAAAAAAGGAAAATTTATCGTGGCAAGGAAATATTTTGATATAGCTTAAATCTTTTTAAATGATTCTTTTTTTAGAGTGACAAATTTCAAAATAATATATAATATAATAATAATATAACATGATAAAAATTTCACAACAAGAAAAAAGCCCAACCTCTTCACTTCCATTCACAATTATATCTCTTTTTTAGATAGTTATAAACATTCATTATGCCTGAATCAATAATTTTTTTTAATTGCAGAAAAATTGATGCTTTTTTATAGTTACATTTTTAGTTATGTCACATCTTGTTATAAATATATTATGACAAATTTTTAACTCTTTGAGATGAGACAGTAACTTGAACTACCCTTGGTACTCTAAAGCGGCTGTTAATTTTGAACAAATTGCCCTTCATTAAAAATAAAAATATTAAAATGTAGGCAACAAAAGCGTCATCTGGATCTTTATTTTACTTAAATTCGGATAAAAAAATAAAAATTTAAAAATATGGCCAAAATTATAAAGGGAAGCTTTAAAAATTGAACGAAATATTATGTTTTGGACAAACTTATTTTCTTTGACAGTTTTGGAAGCCAATTAATAAACAAAGTATTTAAGAATCAAGTGCCAAGGTCAAATAACGTCCTTGGCACTCGCCAAATAAAAAATATCTAAGTTTCGTTGAAAAATTTCAAAATATTTTGGCACGTGTGCAAGTTTACATAAGAGAAGTCATTTATTCCTTTAATCTGGTTTTTTCAGCGATTAATTATATTGAAGATAACAAGAATGTTCTCTTTGCAAGTTTGCATCAAATGAATGATTAGAATTTGCAAAAATTTCGGAAGGTTATCGTAGTGACATAAAAAGTTCACGTTGCTTTCGTCATATAAAAACACTGGCTGGTTTATTAGAATGGACTTCGGTGAGGTCAAAAGATGTAATTTCGTGCGCATTTCAATTGTTATCAAGTTGAGCGAATTAGTTAGATAAGAAATTTCACACAAAGTTGCACCAATTTAAAAAAAGAGCATTTATAATTGCTTTAAATAATGTAAAAAACTCCCAATATCTATGGCAAAAAATGCTTTTTTAAATTAAATGCTTATATTTAAATACAAAAACCCAGGTGATTTTTATTATTATTTTATTTATCGCCGCAATTAAATGTAAAAGACGAATCAAGAAATGATCCGAGCATAAAACGGGTTTGTTAATTTCGATTGAGCATTTGTTGGTGTTTTTTCATGTTTTACCTGCAGGCACTCTGCAGCCTTGAGGAAGGAGGAGAGGCAGTCCTGCGAGACGTGCACCTCGCCCTTGTACATGAACTCGAGCAGGGCGGCCATGTTGGGTGCAGACATGCCGTCCAGGATGACGACGGTGCCTGGGCAGGGTGGCGCCACCTCGAACAGGTCCTGGAAGTGCTTGCTGCATGCCGCCAGGATCACTTTGTGGGCCTTCAGCGACACACCTGCAACATATGCAAACCTTTCAAATACAAGAAAAGAGCAAAATAAACGCAAGAACGGGTAAAGAGCGCGACCTTGAGTCTCGCCCGACACACCACTGCACGTGCCCAATTCACTTTTATTGCGAAGCTGCCGAGGACGCCCGCCGCAGAGACAAATGAGAGATGCAACTTTTCTTCCTTTGCGTTCATCTCAATTGAAATTTTCGGCGATAATTGAACGAAAAAAAAAACTTGTTGAAAAGAGAAAAGTTTCAAACTGATGTTAGCAAGAATTTTGTTTTAATATTGAAAAGTACAGTTTATTTTTTAATTAAAAAAAATGAAAGAAAGTTTTTTCTATTATATAAACCATCTCTGCAAAAATAACAATAATTTTAGGAATTATCAAACATTTCCATTATTTGCATTATTTATTTATAATGAGGATATTATGGTATCTAAACTAAGAAAAACAATAACATATTTTTTACGTCGATTAAAGAATTTATTTTTCCATCTTCATTGCGGTGAAATTAACGTGATTTGATGAAATTTTCATCAATTTTGGTCGGGCCAATTTCGTAAAAGAAAATTTTAAGAAAATGTTAACTTTTAAAATTCAGTTCTCCCGCAATGAATTTAATTTTTCTTTCTGTCTCCTTGAAAATAGAATCTAAAATCCAGTGAAACTTGCTTATGAAGGTAAAAAATTTCAACAAAATTAATCGGACAGGTTTTTTTATCAAAAGCATAATTCACCAATTATTAATGGATTTACTAATTTTGAAGCGTGCGGAGAATGCAAATCATAGATCCTTTATTAATTATGGCCGGCTCATTTGTCGCACGACAACTCCTTTCCTCTCAAAATTAAATGAAAGTTTATCAAGCTAATTTGCGGCGGTGTTAATTAATTTTCGTGGAGACGATGATGCGGTTCCAAAAACAATTCTCTCGTTCCGCGTTCGCTCGCTCGCCCGCTTTGTTTCTCTTTCTCTCAAAATATTGTTGGCTCGCCGGCATGATACACGGAAACTTCAGAGAGAGGACCAAGCAAGTGTAACAACCGAATTAAAAGCGGCCTTGTTTTGATGTTCAACCTCCAAAAAATATTAAGAGAGAGGATACGCTTTTGTGCGTGAATTATATGCATAAATTCGTGCAGTAGAAAAAGCGGCGATAAGAAAACTCGCAACTTCTGAATTTTCTTATCTTCAGAGAGGAAAATAAAGTGTAGATTTCGAATCCTCATGAAAAATAACACTTCTAAATTAGAAAAAAAATGTATTTATTTGTAAATTTCCAGTTCATTTTCAATTTCATTTTTTAAATAATTTTGAAATAACATCCAAATTAAAAAAAAAAAACACACACACACACACACACATTTTTTGGTTTATTTTTTAGCTTCGCAGGTGTAATTATTAATAATATTTTTCCCAAAAAATATTCATAGAAAAATGATTATTTCTCCAAAAGTGATATTTTCAAATACATCAGCTGAGCTCATATTGATCGTCATTTTTTTTTTAGCAGAAGAATATTAATAACGAATTGCTCGGTCCGCAATAAAGTGCAGTAGCTCACATAATAAATAATCTTATCTCTCGCAACTCGTCGCTCTTCGCGCGCGTAATTGCGGCTCGGATTTGAAATATTACGCGCGAGCGCGGTGCGCCACTTATTCTATGTATGTATTACTTTTTTTATCTGGCATCTAACAAGTCTAAGAGTTATTTGGTGTAATTTCCGAGGAAGGCCATTGTTCACAAAAGAGCACCACTCATCGCAACTATGATCTAAACGCTTTAATTATTATTTCGTGAGCGCAACGTTAACTAGGATTAATTAAAAGAAAAAACTGCACCGACGTGACGTCAGAGAGAGAAAAATAACAGCAGCTGATTCAAAAATTATTGTTCAGAGCTTCGGTCAAAACAAACAAGATAAAACCAAGTGAAAAAGTGCAATTTTATAAATATCTATCTGTCTGGCAGGGGAGACGTGAGCGGTCTATTTAATCTGACAAACACGGCGCTTTGCATCGATTGCAAAACTCTCTGTTATCAAACAGGCGGTGAAATTAACCGCAGATTATTTTGTATTTCGGTACATATAAGTTTTGATAAAGCAAAGCTAGTGAGTGTTTGTAGGCTTGAATGTGCAACATTTACAATTTTATAAGTGGTTATTATCATGTGTGCGTGAAGTGGCCAAAGAAGAAGTCAATAAAAAAAAAAAAAAAAAAAAAAAAAAAAATAAGCTTAGACTTTCATCCCGACTCTAAATATTATGGCTATGATTAAAAACATCATCAAAATTTGTGATAATTTAAATGAAGAAAATAACCAGTCATTTTTAATGAGAAAAAAACCAAATATTTTAAAACATATATTATAGTCCAAGAAAGAAAGGTTTCAACCTGGAAAAAATTCATGCCAGTCTGAAATTTTTACCATCTGTTGAGAGTTCATAGAGACACATTTTATGAGAATTTCTGCCATTAACCTTTTCTAGGTCAAAAATTACCTATGAAGGATGGCGTATTTCTTATTTTTAGTTACAAATTGTGTTTTATTTTTATGGTAATTTTTCTATTTCTTGTATAAATATGAGAGAAATGCGAATCGATAGGAAATTTATTAAGCTTAATAATTGCCAAGTTTTCTTAAATGAGATAATTTTTTTGCGTCGAAAATTGCAATTGTGAAAAAAATCCATTTTTGTCACTTTTTGTTGGGGTTTTTTTTTTAGCTCGATATCTCTTCGGGATAACATTTTAGAGAAAAATATTTCCAACAAAACTTGTAGCAAATTTAATTGTGTACAGATTTTGTATTTCAAATTTTCTTCTAAATCCTAAGCGGCAAAAGTTATGAAAGCGGAAATGTTAAAAAATGAGTTTTTCACCTCAAGGTTAACATATAATGGGTCAAATTTTTAGTCTGGCATGAATTTTTCTGGGTCACATTAGGCAAAATGCTTTTGATTCCTGGACTATTAAATTAATTTTTTCAATAAGATATTTTAATTACACATTTTAATTACAGCTCTCTATAAATTACAATACTAAAAGTTCATATTCTAATTGAAGATCAGACAATTTTTTAAATAAATTTGAATAAAATATTTAATAATTAAGCCTAGGAAATAATTGATTTCATCCAAGTTTCGAACTTACCATCACAAAAAAGAGTTACGTCGGTGAGGCTTTCGGACTTGAAGAGGTTTCCGAAAGCCGTGGCCAGGTTGCTGCCAAAACTGTTCCATTTCAGGCAGAACTGCTGGTTTTGGGAATCCATGATGAGTGCGAGGGCCAAGCCCTCCTGTGGCTGTGTGCCGTGACCCGCCCCTGTTTGGATTCCGTCTGCAACAGAGAATGCCACTTGTTAATTCAACAAGTCTCAGTTCAAATTATCCTTTGACGTCACCACGGGAATTAAATTTAATTAATTCGCACAACGCGACTTTGTAAGAGGAACTTATGAAAAGTGTCTCATAAATCGAGTCAAGTAAATCGATTAGAAAAGGGGGAAAATGAGAATGCAAAATGGCCAAGGCAACCGGTTTTCGAGATGCTTTGAAATCACTGGCACGCCATATTTTTTTTTTTTGCAGCCGCGAGATTTACATTAACAGCGAAATTAACGAGGCGCCCAAACAAACACACCGGCTAGACTTGAATTCTAGGCGCAGAGATGACCAGCACAACCTGTTTTTCTACGGGCGTCGGATTAATGAGCACCGCCGCAAAATCCGACACTTTGCAACGCATTTCGCATAGTTTTTCAAACACTTCAAATGGGCAGTCAATTTAAAAGACATTCAAAACGGTATAGCAAGTTGAGATTTCCATTCTTAGCGGGACACAAAAAAGTGTTCTTAGCCAATTGAGAAAGCTAGCTGTTCATAATTTTGACATGACAAATGCAACTTTCTAGCAATATTTTTTTTTACAGTTGTCCAATCAGGCGTTCAGGGAGGGCCAACTTTGAGAGGCCAGTCTTATCTTCATATTGCCGAATAAAACATCAATTTATTAAAATTGATTTAAATAATGTCACAATGTCTTTCATTTTTATCAATATATCTGTTCTGATTTTAATCGTAAATCTTCAATCTTAAATTTCCATATCAAAAAAACTTCCATCAAAATTAACCAGGTCGTTTCTTTTTTTTGCAAAAGCCTCTCCTTCATTTGTAGAGAAGTAAAAGAAAATTCAATATATTTGTCCGATCATGTTCCCCGCACTGTTTTCAGGGAGGGCCAACTTTGAACACCAAAAAATTGCATCAAAAAATGTTACCAAATTTTTTTGAATGCTTTTACGTTTAATTTGTAATTTCTATAGAAAAAACTATAAATTCTGTAACATTTGCATAGTTTAATTTTTATGACAAACTCTATGTTGACTATTTTAAAGTAATATTTTATTTGCATTGAGTATGAATAGAAATAAAAGCGACCCCCCTGCAAAAAGTGGCATTTTTTCGGCGCGTTGGCTCATTTGGCCGATCGTCATTTCTTTCTATTCTGGTCTCTTGCAAAACGCGGTCTCTCGTGATGCTCTCTGGCCGCTCATTTTGCCTCTATCGGTTTTGCGGAATGCGTTCCAGAGTGAGGCCGGGCGCAGGTAGAGAAAAACGAAGCGCTCAGTAGTTTTATATTGAAATGCGACACCCCAGCTCCATCCACAGAAAGACCCGACATATATATTAATCCTCTCCTTCGCCCAGAAGAAACAAAGATGGAGCTGGGAAAAAAATAAGTTCTGCGGACGAAACAAGAGGAAAAAAATGATAAATAAAATAAAACTTTTTTATGATATCGCGCATCAGCTTGCCAAAGCAATAACATAAAAAGCACCAACTGCGACAGCTATTTTCTTTCATTTTCCTGCAGACCAAAAATTAATAACTGCACGTTTGTCCAAAATAAAAATGCGTCGTTTTGTTTCCCGTCCGCGGAGGGTCGTCCGAGTGCACTCCATGTATTTATATTTGTCACCTCTTGACCCCCCGAATGGAAGATAACCGCGGGTGTTATCGGAATTTTTATATGCGCGTCTTATTCTTTTCTTTTCCCCTCCGCTCCGAGGTCTCTCTTTTTATTTTTGCACGCGCTGCACGTGGTCGTTGTGCAAATAAACCGAACACACGCGCGCTTGAAAATTTCTCATTGAATCGAAATTAATCCTGTGCGTTTCCGGCACCGCGGCCAAATTAATTATGCCATTTGACGGAAAATGTGCGAAGAAAGTTTATAGCGTGTTCCATTCAAATATAATTATATGCGCGATTGAGGCTGATTTTTCATTCTATCGTGTTGCGACCGACCGGACTTTCACATTTTGCAATTTTTTTGCAGCGAGACAACTTTTGGGATTCGGAACAAGTAGTGCGATAGTTAATTGGCAATAAAACTAATAAACATGGAACATTATTTTTGAACCGGTATTAAAAGTAATCAAATCAAATACATGGACGGTTTTATTGAAAACTCATTCGAGTAAAACCTTCTTCAATACATAAATTATTTGCAAAAACTTTCTTTAGGAAATTTTGAACATTTTTCTTTTAATGATTAATTTATTTGAATAAAAAATCCAAGCATAATGTATAATTCTAGGTTTCAATCTTAAATTTACGTTCTTCCGTTAATTTTTTGCTTGACAATCAATTATTAATCCTGTAATATTTCCTATTTTTTTAAATTTGAAGACAATCATTTATTCCAATAATGTAAAAATATTTACCGTTCAAATTTCAGAAGCTTATAATTCAATTGTATTTTTATACATAAGGGCAACACCTCAGGTGATTTTAAGCCTTGAAGGACCATGTTTGATTTTCACCCCTAAGCGGAAAACCTTATTTTTCAACCTTTCGGCTATTATAACTTTTATCGCTTTGGATTTAGAAGAAAATGTTAAATAAAAAACGATCAGAATTAAATTTTCTACAAGTTTTGTCTGAAACATTTGTCTCTGCAATGTTTTCCAGAAAAGCTAAAGCTATAAAAACCATAGAAAGATGACAAAAAAAAATTGAGCTTGTTCATACAATTGAAATTTTTGCGCCAAAATCGTCTAATTCAAGAAACTTTGGTGAGGTTTTTAAAGCTTATTAAATTTCCTATCGATTGACGTTAACTTCATGTATGTTCAAGGAATAGAAAAATTACTAGAAAAATTAAAATAAGAAAAAAAAGTAGCTGGCAGAGGAAAACCTTGGAAAATCTCAGAAAAAGGGTTTCAATGGAGATGTTGAAAATTTCAAACTAGCATGATTTTTTTCCAGCTACATCAGGGCAAAATGCTTTGAAATCCTGCGGAATTTGATATTAATATTTACTGACGTGACTGAAGCAGAAAAAAAATTCAATTAAATTTTCTGGAGTTAAACACCATGAGCGTGTTGATTATGAAAAGTTATTTAATCACCACCTGTTACCGCAACCTGTAAATAAATCGCCCATAAATTTCCCTTAAAATTCCAGCTCAGAACTTGAACAGGCCGCCAAGTATTAATTAGCAATTAATTCTCGTGCATTCGATCAGAGATAGACGCAAATTGTTTCAGAACCTGTGAAAACTTGACAAGTGAAAAAGCGGTTTCGAATCTAGTTTGTGCCGCTAGGTGAGTACTTAACGGGTTCACTCAACTCGCATTTAAATGGCAAAAAAAAAATAAAAAACATAGAAAATAATTAAGCAAAGTTACAATAAATCAAACAACAAATCCGACAAGTTTTGCCTCGAAGGAAAGAAACCGGTCCAATATTAGGGGCAAAGATGCCCTCATCCTTCAAGCATTAGAGCGTCCCTGATCAAAATACATAATCAGACCTGCCAGTCCTTGGCGGGTGCTTTTAGTTCAAAAGATCAAGGTCATCAAACGTAATCAGTGTGACGGGTGGTTTGCCATTTTTTTTCGCACAAACCGGTTCTCCGCGCAGATTTGCAGAAAAAGAAGAGATCGGCCTCTGACAGCGGACGGAAGAAAAAAAAGAACCGCAGATATGACAAGAAACATGTGTCAATATACTTGCGAATTGATACAAGAAAAATAAATGAAATCTGTAGGAATTGTTTACGTTTCGCTCGGCAGAGGAAAATAAAAACAGTTTCAATTAAAAATTACAGCTTTGTGCGTTTTTATTACGCGATCATGACATGAAATCCGCTCGTAAAATGAGACTTGCGCGCGCCGGCTGCTGGCGCAAAAAAAAAAAACTTCTTTACCTCAGCTATTATTTTGATAGAATGATTTCGGCTCCAGATAACTATGGCAGGGATTAGCAGCAGCAGCTTTTCTCTCCGCCAGGCACACCCAGCCGGCCATTCTTCCAAATGGAACAAGAAAAGAAAAAGAAGCACCACAAACTACTAAAATTTTAAGTGCCGGGCAATCGTTCTATCGCGCGCACCAAAAGTCGTAAAGATGCGAACGTATTAATTTTGCCAGGACCGATCAAACTCATGCTTAAAAAAACACACAGTTTTTGATGAATTTGAAAACTATTCTGGCATCAAATCTGCAAAGAACCAGTAAAAAAGTTTGAATACTAAATTTCATTGATGTATTTTATTTGTAAATTATTAATTAAAATTTATATCTATTTTGTTAACATTTTTAAATCTGCAGGTTTTTGGTGTCATTTTAATTTAAATGAGCGGCGGAGCATTGTTGCAGCCTTGGATCAAAGACATTGTAGAGATAAAATCATTAAATCCTTTCCGACTCTTACATTAACCTTGTTTGAATAGCTTCAAAGGCAGTGCGGAAACGTGACAAATGAACATAAATATAGTCGCGAAAAAGCTGTTTGGCTGCACTAAAATTATAAAATTGAGCGATAACAAAGCCCTTTTTTTGGCCAACGTGGCAATTACAGCCCACGTGTGTCTACATCGGTCTATTTTGCGTCGAAAACGTTTGCAAAATTCCAACTTTAAGGTAAAAGGAAACCTGCTTTTTATACACGAATATCTAAAAATTTCAACTTTAAGCAAAATTTTATAAATTAACTTAATAAGCTCATATATCAAAATGTCCCCATTAATTTTAGAGATAATTTTCCTTTACATCAGCATTGGTTTGTAGATTATATTTCAAAAAAGAAACCGTAATAAAAATTAAATTAATTCAAAGAACTGAATTTTTTAAATGAAAGTTTTTTTGCGAAATTTTCTAAAATAAATTTTCTTCCTCAAAATTGGGCCGATTGAAATCGATGAAAATTTCACTAAATTTTGTCATATCACCCCAGTCAAGTTGCAGTAATAAAAACCATCTAGGTATATGATGAAATCAAAATCTGCATTGATCTTTTTTTTTTTTGATTGATCTTATGGCAAAAGGTTT